TGCAAATCCCTGCCCTTATGAAAGACACTGTCCCCAGGTCCCAGTCATGTTCTCCTTGATGTGAATGTGGCTGTCTGCTCTCTCAATTCCCCACACAGTCTGAAGCCACACAACGTGATCAAGGAAATAATGACATGCCTGGGAATTGGACAGTCCCCAAAACACCCTATTAATTTTTCCTCACCCTGTTGCTGTGAGATCAGCAACAGAATACTTCAGACAGGTAAACATCCAAAGACATTCTGCTCAGTACAAGGCCTGCAAGGGGATCCATCCACTGCAGAGGCACATGTATTAAAAGGAAAGAGGGAGTAAGAAGAAAAGAGGAGAAGAGAAGAAGTGAAAGATTGAGGCCCTCACTTTGGTATTTAAGAATTGAAACATTTCAGATGAATTGTGTCCAGTGTTTGTGGATAAAATTGTGTCATGATAAGCACTTGGAACCAGTGTGAAAAATCATAAGGCACATTTTCACAGATTCTGTAATCACTGTATTCTTAGCATGAGATCAATATTTCATGAGTAAGAGTAATAGAGTAGTAACATTAGCAATGTTGTTGGCATTCCTTCCCTTGTCAGAGCACAAAAGGCTTACCCAGACAGATGCCCATGTGGAAAGCCTGTCCGTATGTTTTCCTTTGCATTCAGTATTTCAGCCTCACCCAGTAAAGCTCTGTGTGAATCCAGACCCCGCTGGGGTTTCATTCATGCATCATCGATGCACTTGAACAAATTGTCATTAGCCAGAGAGTTCTAGCTGATGGTCTACAATTTCGAACTTTGGGAACCCAAAGGAAGAGTGAATTCCGTGGAGGACTCTGGTTTTGGCACATTCTTCCTACATTATGTGGCCTTTTCTTTTTTTTTTTTTAAACCAATGCCAATACAATCACATCCCTTGCCAGGGATCCAGATGTGACTGTTGCTGACTTTAACACTGGTGGAGCAGCTAGTGTTAACTGTCATGTGGTGTGCATGACTTACAGCTATCTCAACCTGCAAAGACATTCTGAATCCACATTTTGCAAAGGCTTTCATTTTATTTGTCCTGCTAGAAAGCACAACCCCACCCCACCCCCAACATATGAGTTACAGAGTTCCCTCCTCAAACATTCTAGACAACTGGGAGTTAACATGTCAATGCTGAGCTTTGCTTCAAATCTTTCTAAAACATAAAATTGACTTCACTGTCTTAACTGTGAGCTTGCATAGTAGAGCTGTGGAGACGCACAGCATGGGCAAGGGGCTGAAGGACGTGGCTCATCTCCCTGCAGGTAGGAAACACCCAGCACCGAGGCCAGCCCACTCCTTAGTAGACCTCCTTCAGCAGGGTATGGAAGCTGGGAAGCCACCTCCTTCGATACGCTTCCCGTCCAGATTGTAGAGCTCTGTGGAATGGGGAGTGGCTGGACGCTGCCGTCAGACACAGATGGAGTCCAGTCCTCCTTGACTGTCGACTCTCCGAAGTGGACACCCTTATTTTACATCTCTAAGCTTCCACCTCTCAATCTGGAAATTCAGGACACAACTTCCCAGGACGATGAAAGGGGACTTTTGCTCCTGGGTTCCAAACCCTTCCGTGGCTGCCCCTTCCTACACAGTGTCTACCTTCAGCTCCTCTGCAGCCCCGACGGTCTTCTAACACTTCCCTCCTGCCCTCCTCTTCCTCTGCCCTTCACTCTGTCACTCCCTGAGCACACCTTGTGTCCATGTGTGTACACAGGTGGCTCCTCTGCCGAGGTCACCCTGCCTCCCTCATCCACTTGGCCAGCCCCAGCTCCTCCTGACAGCCTTGGGTTTATGGGGGCCTCTCTCCTGGGAGATCTCCCCTGATTCCGGGTTGACTTTGGTGCTTCCCCCCAAATCCTGTTCACACCTCCATTAAGGGAAATTTGTTCTGGCTTCTAATTGCTTGTTTACAAATGAGTCTGCATCAGAGTGCAAATCCCCTGAGAGCAAAGGCTGTGTCTTCCTGCTGCAGCAGTCCAAGGATCCTTCAGAGACCAAACAGTAGGCCCCCTGCCCACTTATCCTCTGGGGGTCTTCCTCAGTGATCCAAGACTCTGTGTTCTACGTCTGCATCCCTTCTTGCCATTGTCAGTGCTGACCCGTCTCTTTCCAGTCTCTGAAGGCAGTTAAAGTCTGGTCTGGGAGGTACATGCAGGTTTGAAGACACTCGGCAGGGAAACTGGGAAATAGAGGTCAGTAAAATGCCCAAGCCAGTATGTCCACCCCTGGCTCTGTTTTGTTAACATCAAAGCCTAAAAACTGCACTTGTTTTTGTGGGGGAAGCAGGGAGAGTCCCATGCTAGCCCTGAGAGCTGGCATGGAAGAAAGGCGGGGAACAGCCACTTCACAGAAGAAACTGCCCCAGACAGGAGTCCCTGTGTCACTGCTCTGATCACAGTGAAGACTTCATGACCATCTCCTCACCCCTCAAGTGGAGCTGTAGCCACAGAATAAGCTGGAAAACTCACCAGAGAAGCCAAAACTGACAGTACAAACAGCACACATTTCCCCACAAGGCAGTGGAAAAGAGACTGGTGCTTCCTCTGCTCACGTACAAGTCTCAAGGGCTTCCTGGTTCAGTCATGTTCCTAAGTCCACTCACTGGCTTCCAGAAGTTTCTGTTTTGTTTTGGAGCAACTTCTCCCTTGCTTAGGCTTGCCAACTAAAATACAAGCCTCCCAGTTACACTGGTATTTCAGATAAACAATGACTTTTAAACTGAAAAACATACTCCAAATATTGCATGGGACATGCATATAATAACAGTGAATTCAAAGGCTGGCACAGTGGCATAGCAGGTAAAGCCACCAACTGCAGGGCGGGCATACATATGGGCGCTGGTTCAAGTCCCAGCTGCTCCACTTCCCATCCAGCTCTCTGCTATGGCCTGGGAAAGCAGTAGAAGATGGCCCAAGTCCTTAGGCCCCTGCACCTGTGTGGGAGACCCAGAGGAAGCTCCTGGCTTCAGATTGGCGCAGCTCCAGCTGTTGTGGGCAATTGTGGAGTGAATGAGCAGATGGAAGACCTCTCTCTCGCTCTGCTTTTCCTGCTCTCTTTGTGTAACTTTGACTTTCAAATAAAATAAAGAATTCCTTTTTAAAAAGTGAATTCATTATTTATCGGAAATTCAAATTTCACCTGGCATCCTGTATTTGTATTTGCTGAATCTGGCAGCTCTACATGACCCTTTATTTGATTCTTTTTGAGAATCTAAGGATTTAGGTTGATTTCTCTTTTTGATTTCTGTTTTAAGGGCCTTTCCCACATTAAAGATCGCCAGGCCCCCTGCTTCACTTTATGAAACATTCACAGCTAACACCAATCTCAGCAGCTGATAGAGCAGCAAGGAGTAACGAATGCGATTCCTTGAGCTTCATCGTCCTGCCTCCTCCCCCTGCAATAGCGTAGGGCACACAGAGTGGCCAAAAGGCAATCTGTGTAAAGGAAGTTGGGAAAGAAACCAGTTACAAATAAACTGCATTTGAATGCCAGACCCCAGCTGGCAATCTCTGACCCCAATGTCCACCCACCCCAACAGGGAAAACCAAAGAAGTGTCTTCTCCGAGCTCCCATTCAGAACATGGGCCGCAGAACAACAGCTAAGTCTGGTCATCCCTTATTTTTAGAGCCACAATTTAGAGGACAGTGCCCTGTGGCAAGCACTAAGTGCACTGGGTTATCTCCTCCGCGCTGGCAATATAGCGGGAAGTGGCAACGCAGGGAGACTCAGCAACACCGAGGAGATGGCGCAGACCTTGAAGGCAAGCAGACCAGCCAGCGCAGCCTGGGCTCACCCAGTCCCCACACAATCAGGGCCCAAAGGACTCACTTCCCCAATTGTCTGTTTCATTGTCTCCATAGATGATAGGACGCCACACCTGGGCATACAGCTGGTGCACAGTGAGACCATAAGATGGCAGCCTGGCCCTGTTTCACATGCCTTTGTGTGATGAAAGAGAAAGAACAGGTTAACAAGGTCACAAGCAAAACCTGATACTTGGCTCAAGTTCAGCAGCTGCTTTGGATGCAAGAACGCCGCCCCAAGTAAGGAGATAGGAGATGCTGGTGAAGGCAGCTGTTCCATTGAGGTTCAGTGGGAGAGGATTCTGCAGGGGGGCAGTATGCGTTTGTTTTTTTAAGATTTATTTATGTATTTGAAAGAATTACACAGAGAGAGAAGAAGAGGTGGTGGGGGGAGAGAGAGAGAGGTCTTCCATCTGCTGGTTCACTCCCCAACTGGCTGCAACAGCCAGAGCTGCACCAATCTGAAGCCACAAGCCAGGAGCTTCCTCCAGGTCTTCCACATGGGTTTAGGGACCCAAGGACGTGGGCCATCTTCTACTGCTTTCCCAGACCAGAGCAGAGAGCTGGATCAGAAGTAGAGCAGCCAGGTCTCGAACCGGTGCCCATATGGGATGCCAGCACTGCAGGCAGCGGCTTTACCTACTGTACCACGGTGTGCATTTCTAACGCCACCACTTTTCTTCTGTTCAGGCTGGAGTTTTCTGCATCCATTTCTGCTGTACCCGAGATGTGTGTGCTTTCCTGGCTGGGATGAGATCCCTACCGACATTCAGCAATAACCTACAGAAGGAAGGGAACTTCTCCAGTGGCCCACGATGTAGTTTGCTCTGTAACAAAATTGACCCTGTCAGCTGTTGGTCTGGAAAGTGCAGATCAAGGTCCAGACCCTGCACAGCCCGAGGCAAAGGCCCCGCAGCCTTCAGAGAGGTCACTGAGTCATCTGTCATCCCACAGGCAAGTGCCCTGCAATTCAATTGCTCAGAATTCCCAAAGAAAACCATGAATGACAGACTTGGGAACTGTTTTTACAGACATGGGATACAGACAACGTAAACACCAGTAACAGGCCAGGGAGAGCACCACTGGTACAGGACCCTATCCTCACTCAGGATCTGGGAACACCTCCCTGGTGACGTCACAGCCTGTGGGAGGGGCAGGCGCTCAGCAGGAAAAGTCCTAAGGACTAGATTAGGAAGCAGCCCTCTGGCATTCAGTGGCTTGCTTGCTTTCTACTGGCCGGCACCAGGCTGTTCCCGGTTGGACTGGTATTCTGAGTGTTGCATTATCTGCACGACATCAAAAATACAGCCCTGTGCTGTAACATTTTACCAGGACAAGATCCCAACTTCTAGTACCCATGGCAGAGAATTCAAAATTTGATGAAACACCACGCATAACTGTTGACTACATGAGAGGAATTCTTCTACCCACAGCCACCTGTGACGCCTGGGATCTGATCTGGAACTTCCAAGCCAAGCCTGATGACCTGCTGATTTCTACCTATCCTAAAGCAGGTAGGTGGAGGAGCTGGCAGGGACGGGGAAGAAGAGTTAGGAAAGTAAGTGAAGGATTCAGTGAGGGAAGAAGGTTTTCTGTCAAGGAGCCCTTTTGCACACACACACACACACACACACACACAGAGCTAGGGACAGAGAGAAAGCCAACCTCAATCTTTTCTGAGATTGTGTTCAAACCTCCATAGGAGGTTACATCTCTCTCAATATCCTAACAGAAGAATGTGCAGGCCAACAGAGACCTTGTCCAGTGGTTCATGTTGGTCCTGATGTAACAGTCTTACTCGTCAGGATTCTATTCAGGATCAAATTTTTCTAAATGTCAATCTGAAAATTAGCAAAGTTTTTGCAACTAGTTTTACTAGTTTTTTTGCCACTAGTTTTTGTCACTAGATTTTTTTTAAATTTTATTTAATGAATATAAATTTCCAAAGTACAGCTTATGGAGTACAATGGCTTCCCCCCATACCTTCTCTCCCACCCGCAACCCTCCCCTTTCCTGCTCCCTCTCCCCTTCCACTGACATCAAGATTCATTTTCAATTCTCTTTATATACAGAAGATCAGTTTAGCATATATTAAGTAAAGATTTCAACAGTTTGCACCCACATAGAAACACAAAGTGAAAAATACTGTTTTCAGTACTAGTTATAGCATTAAATCACAATGTACAGCACATTAAGCACAGAGATCCTACATGAGGAGCAAGTGCACAGTGACTCCTGTTGTTGACTTAACAAACTGACACTCTTGTTTATGGCATCAGTAATCACCCTAGGCTCTTGTCATGAGTTGCCAAGGCTATGGAAGCCTTTTGAGTTCACCGACTCTGATCATATTTAGACAAGGTCGTAGTCAGAATGGAAGTTCTCTCCTCCCTTCAGAGAAAGGTACCTCCTTCTTTGATGACCTGTTCTTTCCACTGGGATCTCACTCGCAGAGATCTTTCATTTAGGTTTGTTTGTTTTTTGTTTTTCTTTTTGTTTTTCTTTTTTTTTTTTTTTTTTTTTTTTTTTTTTGCCAGAGTGTCTTGGCTTTCCATGCCTGAAATACTCTCATGGGCTTTTCAGCCGGATCCACATGCCTTAAGGGCTGATTCTGAGGCCAGAGTGCTGTTTAGGACATCTGCCATTCTATGAGTCTGCTGTGTATCTCGTTTCCCATGTTGGATCATTCTCTCCCTTTTTTATTCTATCAGTTAATATTTGCAGACACTAGTCTTGTTTATGTGATCCCTTTGGCTCTTAGTCCTATCATTATGATCAATTGTGAACAGAAATTGATCACTTGGACTAGTGAGATGGTTTTGGTACATGCCACCTTGATGGGATTGAATTGGAATCCCCTGGTATGTTTCTAACTCTACCGTTTGGGGCAAGTCAGCTTGAGCATGTCCGAAATTGAACATCTCTTCCTTCTCTTATTCCCACTCTTATATTTACCAGCAATCACTTTTCAGTTAAGTTTCAACACTTAAGAATAACTGTGTATTGATTACAGTATTCAACCAAAAGTATTAAGTAGAACAAACATAAAAAATACTAAGAGGGATAACGTATTAAGTTGTTCATCAACAGTCAGGGCAAGGGCTGATCAAGTCACCATTTCTCGTAGTGTTCATTTATTTCACTTTAACAGGTTTCCTTTTTGGTGCTCAGTTAGTTGTCACCGATCAGGGAGAACATATGATATTTGTCCCTTTGGGACTGGCTTATTTCACTCAGCATAATGTTTTCCAAATTCCTACCAGGGATCACTTTTCAGTTAAAATTTAAACACCTAAGAATAATCTAGGAATTTGCCACTAGTTTTGCGAGTTTTGCAACGAGCAAAGAACACGGCTTAAATTCATCCACAACTCTGCTTGAATATCATTTCAGTTCAGTCTTGTGGTTTCAATTTACTTCCTCATTTGAGAGGCAGAGAGAAAAACAGAGCTGCCTAGAGAGCTCGAATCACCACTGCTTCATCCCCCGAATGTCTGCAGTAGCCGTGGGCAGGGGCTGGAGCCAGGGCCAGGACCTCAATTCACCTCTCCCATGCGGGAGGCAAGAACTCAATCACGCCAGCCAGCACCGCCACTGCCTCCCAGGGGATGCACGGGCAGGAGTCGGGGCCAGGGCCAGCAAGTGAATCAGGTGCTCACACCAATGAGGGACATGCAGCAGCCTGACCACTGGGCCAAATACCCACTCTCAGTACTTTGTGTAATCTTTCATTCTACCTGCCAAGTGCAAGCCTTAAGATTTGATTCATTTACTTTTCGTGGAATAAATGGGGTTTAAACAATTCAAAAAGCATCAAGAATAAAAATTTTTTCAGCCAATGTAATATTTAATCATCATTAAAATCTTATATATGAATGAAGATTTTTTTATTAGAGGGAAGAGTTAAGTATAAATGACAAAAACAATCCACCCTGTCCTTAAAAAGAAAGAAAGAAAGAAATACTATGGGCAGAAGCAAGGAAAACAGTCATAAAATCACTAAGCCCTGGAGAGTGACTTGAGCAGTCACTGATGCACCCTGAAGCCCCACTGACACATGAACATCCCTCATCACAGCCTAGGGCCAGATTCAGAGTAATCACCCCAACTAGGTGCAATGACTCCAGAGTTCTCTGAGTAGGTGGCTAAGCAAGTTTTGGTCCTGATATATAAGTCTGGGAGCACAAAGTTCAGCTGAGGGCTAAGGTTACTTTTAGATTTTAAGCATAAAAACACTTATTACCAAACAGTTTTTTACTAGCAAATAGTTCATAGGAAATTTAAAAATAAATGGAAAGTACGTGTTTCCATCTTGACTTAGCACAGTGTAGTCTGAGCATCCCTAATCTGAAGTCCTAAACACTGCACAATCTGAAGCCTTGTCAGTGCCAACACAGTGTCGCACGTAGGACATCATGACAGCATTGTTACACATCCTGTGCACTGCTCCCTTCAGGCTGTGTAGTTAAAGTTTATAAAACCTAAATGAAGGTCATATTTAGCCTTGGTTCCCATCCCTGTGTTATCTCATTATGCTTGTGCGACTACTACAAAATCCAGAAAAACTTGGACTCCAAAATACGTCTGGTCCCAAGTATTTCAGAGAAGAGATACACAACCCGTACTAAAAATTAGAACTTGCTAGTACTAATCTGAAAAGAGCTAATTTAATAGGAATAAGAGAGTATTTAAAAAAAAGAAATCCATCCTAGAACAACCCAACATCCTCACCTGTGAGCACATCTGGTTACAGCCTAAGCTGCGGAGTGGGGGGGCCTTCTTCCTCTGACCACCATGGCAGTGGTGGTGCAGCTTCCTGCGGTTAGAGAAGGGATGTGGAATGTGGAATGACCTCTACCAAAGTGTTGTTGGTGCCACCAGCAGCCACTACACTGGGCAGGATGAGCTCTATTTTGCTTCTGCCTTCCAGATCTCAGCCTAATTCCTCTCATTAGCAGGACTCTTTGTTTGTTTGTTTGTTTGTTTGTTTTCTCTCTTCATACTGTTTGTTGAACTCTTTTACTTAGAGAAGGTTAACTGTATGATTGTTAAGTACACTGAAAATAGATCATGATAAAATTAAAAGTGGGAATGCGAGGTGGGGGAGGAAGGGTTGGAGAGTAGGCAGAAGGTAAGGTGGGGGCGAGTGTCACTATGTCACTATGTTCCTAAATCTGTATATATGAAACTTGTATAACTTAAATAAAATTTTTGTAAAATGCAGAAATTATTATATAAAAAGGTAGAATTCAAAAAAAAAGAAATAGCATTCAGAATCTTTGTGGCAAAGGAGGGAGTCTAGGGAATGTACATTTTTGCCTTTCTACTGCTGAGATAAGGAGAAAACAGAGAAAAGAGTGAAAATGGATACTAAAGGTTAGTGGCATATAGTAAGCCCAGGCACTAATCATTCATTCACTCAGCCAACATCTGCTGGCTCTGAAGCAAAAACTTCATACACTGTGCTTAGGGAAAAGAATTTGAAACCACAGTCTTTACTCCACAGGAGATCATAATTGTTTACCACACAGCTAGATCAACAGGCCAACAACCCAAATTAAAGGTCGTGATAGAAAAAAATAATTGCATATCATCAATCTAATGCCCACTCATGAATGGAGTATTTGTATAAAAATTCATGTCATGGTAACTTATGCTATAAATAAGAAAGGATGTTTTCTGAATTCCATTTCTATAAACATGGCTTTCAAATTCATGTAGATGTTCTAGCAAAGTATTTTATCACAATTTAAAGAATATAGTACTCTAACTGTCTCTGCATCTGCATCTTCTATGTGGAATTAGGAACAACATGGACTCAGGAGATAGTGGACCTAATACAAAATGAAGGTGACGTTGAGATGAGTAAACGAGCACCCACTCATATACGGTTTCCTGTCATCGAGTGGATAATGCCTTCCGTAGGATCTGGTGAGTATCCAATAGCCACACTTGACTATATTTCTGGACATACCCTTAGGGGTTTTATGATTAAATTGCACCTCGCAAAATTATAGGCACTCATTGATGGATTTTGTTGCTTTGTCTTTTTTTTAATGAGTATTTAATTGAAGAACAGTTACAGGGAGACAGAGAAACAGAGACAGGAAGATCGTCCATCTGCTGTTCACTCCTTAAATGATCCAATAACCAGGATTCGGCCAGGCCAAAGCCAGGAGCCTGGAACTTCATCTAAGAATCTCCCACATGGGTGGCAGGAGCCCAAGCACTCAGGCCATCTTCCCCTGCTTTCCCAGACACATAATCAGTGAGTTCAATCAGAAGCAGTGCAACTAGACTAGAACCAGTGCTGAAATGGGATGCTGACATGGCACACCACGGCTTGACCCAGTGTGCCACCAATGCCAGGCCCCAGCCTTGAGTCTGGCCATTGCTATACTACAGAATTTCCTAAATGATTTCCTCTTTATGCAGAAGTAACTTAAATTTTGATTTTGTAGTTATAAATTAGTCACAGTTCACAAAGATGAACACTTATTAGATAATAACAGTGAGAGGGTCTGAAATTTTAGTTTCTTATTTATCGGGTTGGTTGTATTTGCTAGGAATTGTTCTAGGCAAGAAGTCTACTGATATGCTACATGTCTTCCCTCAGATCAAAGACAATAGTTCCAGGACTCTGTGGCTGCCTGGCATTGCTCCCCAGGTAGTTTTGCTCCCTGTTTGAAGCAAATAGAAAAATAGTAGGAAATTATTATAAACTACTTTTTCAGGTTTGGAACAAGCTAATGCAATGCCCTCACCACGGAACCTGAAAACACATCTTCCCATCGAGTTGCTGCCACCATCCTTCCTAGAGAACAACTGTAAGGTAAAGAGCAAAAGGGACTCACGGCTGTACTCTTTAGAACAATCTTAGTCCTCCACATCCTTCCTCTTAAAACATTTTGCCTGTTCAAAAAAAAAATCCACCTCCTTAATGGGCAAAGGACTTCAACAGGCGTTTTTCAAGACAGGAAATCCAAATGGCCAACAGACCTTGAGAAAATGCTCAGGATCACTAGCCATCAGGGAAATGCAAATCAAAACCACAGTGAGGCTTCACCTCACTCCAGGTAGAATGCCTTTCATACAGAAATCAACAAACAACAGATGCTGGCAAGGATGTGGGGAAAAAGGTACCCTAATCCACTGCTGGTGGGAATGTAAATTGGGGCAGCCATTGTGGAACACAAAATGGAGATAACTCAGAAAGCTAAATATAGACCTACCATATGATCCAGCCATCCTACTCCTGGGAATTTACTCAAACCAAAAGAAATCAGGATATGAAAGAGTTATCTATACCCCCATGTTCACTGGAGCACAATTCACAATAGGTAGGATATGGAATCAACCCAGCTGTCCATCAACTGTTGACTGGATAAAGAAATTATGCTATATGTACACTATGGAGTACTACTCAGCTATAAAAAAAAAAAAAAAGAAATCCTGTCTTTTGCAACAAAATGGATACAATTGAAAACCAGTTTACTTAGTGAAATAAGCCAGTCCCAAAAAGACAGATGTCATATGATTTCCCAGATCCAAGGTAACTAATGGGGTACTGAAATTTAATATTTTTCAGTGAAATACACATTTTGAAACTTAATGATCATTTACAACTCATGTCTCTTCATTGAGAAACACTGTTTTTTTTTTAATTATGCCATTTGTCAGACTCTTTTACTAAGCGTAGGGTTAACTATACAGTTGTTAAATAAACTAAAGATATAACTTTGTAGAAATTAAGAGTGGGAATGTGAGACAGAGGAGGAAGAAGGGATGGAGCATGAGCTGGAAAGAGGGTGAGGAAAAGTGTCACTATGTTCCTACATCTCTATATATGAAATACATGAAATGGAACTTGTATAACTTAAGTAAAATTTAAAAAAAAAAAAAAAGCTCTACCTCTTCACAGTAATCCATATGCAAATTGATAGGAATATTTTTCCTCTCTCACAAAAGCCAGGATGGTTGGAGCCAACTCTGTGGTAAGTGGGTGGGGCCGCCGACTGGGATGCCAGCATCCATGTGCACAGTGGTTCCCGTCACGGCTGTTCCACTTCTGATCCAGGCTTCTGCTGTGGCCTGGGAGGACAGCAGAGGATGGCCTGGTCCTTGAACCCCTGTACTCACGTGGGAGACCTGGAAGAAGCTCCTGGCTCCTGGCTTCAGATCCGCCCATGGTGGCCAACTAATGTAATAAGAAAAAGAACAAAAAAAGGCAGGATGGCTGTAAGAAGCACCAGAACAAATGTCTGCCAGAACTGTATCCACCCCTGTGTGACTGTTGGCAATGAGAGTACGGACATGGATTTCATCCTCTTTTGTTTCTTCTCTCCCTTCCATATTTGCAGATCATCTATGTGGCAAGGAATGCCAAGGACATTGTGGTATCCTATTATCATTTCCATAGAATGACTAAAGGACTTCCTGATCCAGGAACATGGGAAGAATACTTTGAGAATTTCCTGGCTGGGAAAGGTAAGAGAACTCAGCTTTGCTTCCTTCCTTCCTTCCTTCCTTCCTCAAAATCCTAAAGCGCCCTAAAAGGAGTGAATCATCCCTACGTCCGCAGGGGCTCTGCCTCCTTTGAGACAACACTCTGATCCCCTTCAGAGATTCTCCTTCCAATGCAACACCTGTTGGTTGAACCTGTGTAACTCACTGCCTTGCTTTCCATCCCACTTTCCAGTGTGCTGGGGCTCCTGGCATGACCATGTGAAAGGATGGTGGAAAGCCAAAGACCAACACAACATTCTCTACCTCTTCTACGAAGAAATGAAGAAGGTGAGGGCAGGGCCACCCACTGTGTTCCCGTGGATGGTAAAACATACAAGTCATGAGTAGTGGCCCTATCGGGGACTCAGGTTGAAGCAGAGAAGAGAACATTCCTGCGTTTCACTGGCCACAGCTGCCCATGTGTCCAAGTACACAGGGGAGATCATGAATTCATGCATTACAAACTCTCACCCTTAGCTTCCTGGTGCCCTGGGGGGTGGTGCACCTTACAGGCTATGGTTGCCAAATACAGAAGACGCTCTTCCCTCCTTGTGTCTCTCAGAACTCAGTTTAGGTGGAAAAGTCATGCTAGCACATTTTGTATTACCATTGAGAAACAGCCACATAGTTTCAACAAACACTTTAGGAAATGACAATGGAATGGAAAATACTAACAATTAAAATTCTTGAATTCACGTCTGGCTGTACAACCTAGTATCAACTATACTTCGGAAAGACACTTAACATCTTGGGTACTTAGATTTCTTATATGCAAAAAAAGAGATAATAATACTCAGCAATCCAGGATCTGTATGGGCACTAAATGAGGTTGTGATTGTTGTAAGGATAGTCTACTCAGATACCTTCTGTGACTCCACTAAATATGGAGATCTACAAAGAATACCACCTCTGTTCTTAAATGTATTATCAAAAACTGTGATACTGAATAGGTGCTTCACAAACTGGCTGTATCACCCACTCCTGGTACAAAAGTGTGGAAATGCTTGCAAAGGGCACCAAATGTAAATGACTGGAAAGCATGCAAACCAGACCCTCATTGCCTGTGTCCTGAAGGAATTCATTTCAGATATATGCACTATTTCAGTTCAGAGAGTTGTCTAATCTAAAGTCCCCCCATATAGACACTCAATAAAAGAATATTATAGTTGTGAGAGGTGTATTCATAGAGTTTGCTCTTTTTGAGTAGATATGACAGGCTAAGGGGGTTATAGAAGAAAGAGTCCTATTAAATTTAGAATAGGAAACTTCACACAGACTCTGTTTGCCTATTGCATATGTAATAGAAGTACCAGAGATGTAGAGTATGTCCTGGGAGTGGGTAACATGGAGATCCTCCTGTGTTAGGAGTTCCAGGAAGAAATTTTATTGAAACCTCATAGTCTCTCAAAGCATTTTAAATATTTCTGTGATCATGTTCTGGGATGTTCCCTGGCAGTAGGTCAGAGTTCACTTCTCAGCGTTCTTTCTGATCCCAAGTCTGTATGAAGACAATTTAATTAAGCACTTTGAACATTCAAGGCTTTGAAGCAGAGACACACTCTGGACACAGTGGTCAGCGTAAGCCCCTCCATTCCCCACACCCTGCCCTGCAGACAATGGATTCCCAAAGCCACAGTAGTTTCCCAGGGCTCCAGGGCCCTCCAGGATGAACTGAGCTCCTCTCAGAATGCCCAAATACCTGACCCTGACCATGCTGGGCACTGGGTATTAATAACCATCAGTGCCTTTTGGGGCATACGCACACACAAAGAATGAACCTCTCCTTTCCTCTTACTAAAATCATTGCTGTGGTCTGGGAGATCTCTAACAGTCACAGGGATAGGATACAGTCACCTCTGGGTCAGATCTTAAACGTTCTGCCCCTGCACCTCTGGAAAGTCTCTGTTCTTTCTGGGAGTCTATGCAATCTCCCTATTAGATGTTGAGCTCACCAAGACCCCTCCCTCCAATAACTAAGTGAGCAGGACTTTGGGAAATAATCCTTAATGCATTCCCACAGTGATACATTCATAGACATCGAAAGCCACTGTTTGTGTCACTAGCCCTACCCACCTGATGCTTACATATTACAGGGGAAAATTCCCAGTAATTCCAATTACTATAAGAAAACAGTATGGGCCACCATGGTAGACTGAGTCCTCTCTGGGCAGTTGGGCATTTACAAATGAAGACTTCTTTGTAACATTGCTGCTGGTTACTATCCCTAATACATTTTCATAATCTTTTGAACTAATTATTTTATAGCCAATCTTGTCTTTTCTTTTGAATTTCATCATAGAATCCAAAGCAGGAAATTCAGAAGCTGGCAGAATTTATTGGGAAGAAACTAGATGACAAAGTTCTAGATACAATTGTCCATCACACCTCATTCGATGTCATGAAGCAGAATCCAATGGCAAACTATTCATCAATTCCTACTAAATTTATGAACCACGCCATTTCTCCATTCATGAGAAAAGGTTGCTTATGTTTTCTTTTGGCCTTAACCTTAAAAGAATGATGCAGCACTTCAGAGCCATTGGGGAGCTGTCTTTCCTATGCCTGGGATTAGAATGGCTGTAATGGAGGACTCTGGGAAAAGATGCATTTAAGAAACCACCGAAGAAATGAAAACAATGTTTACAATCCCCTATCAGCCAGTGAGGTTTGGTATCTAAATCCTACCATGTAGCCCCACGTTCCCTCCAGAAATCTAACTCAGATGTGGTGAACAATCTAGTTTATACACGGCTATATGCTATCAGATTCAAGTATCCAAAAATACTTACTGAGAGGCTACTATGTGCCAGGCACTGGTGGGTGCAGCAAACAAAACACAAAAATTCCTTCCCTCGCGGATATCATATTCTATTGACAAGCAAAATAAATGAGAAATGCATGAGATAACAGACAGTGGTAACAAAGGCAACACTGGGATGATAAGTGGGATGGCAAGTGGAGGTCTGGGTGGGAGCAAGTTCTACAACTTCAGACTTGTACCTGGGACCTCCCAGGAAGGGGTCCTTCTGCTCAGCTCATGGCATAGAAGCCATGGTCCCAGCACCCACCGTGCCGTGATGTGCAAGAGGCCAGGAGAGAGACAGAAACCTCCCAGGCCTGCTGTTGCAACAGTGGTGTCCTTCCCCCAGTAATGGGGCTTGGTGGGGAACAGGCTCTTCCTGTCTACAGTTCAGACAAGAGCAAGAGAGGGACAGCATAGCAAGAGCCTTGTTTTGCCCAACACTGTCCCCTCCTAGAAGATGGAGTAGAAATCATGGCACAGAAACAGGAGAGGAGGGAAACACAAATGCCTCCAGCAGCTATTAACGCTCACCCACGTGGCTGTGTTTCAGGGACAGTGGGAGACTGGAAGCACCACTTCACTGTGGCCCAGAATGAGAGGTTCAATGAAGACTACAAGAAGAAAATGGCTGACACCAGCCTCGCTTTCCACTTCCAATTCCAGTAAGAAAAAAATTAAAAGCTGTTTTACGGGCTGACGTAAAACGTTACGGGTAACGCTGCCATCTGCAATCACAGCATCCCATACGGGTGCCGGTTCGAGACCCAGCTGCTCTACTTCCAAATTAGCTCTCTGCTATGGGCTGGGAAACAGTGGAAGATGCCACAAGTCCTTGGGCCCCTCTGCTGGCTTGGGAGACCTGGAGAAAATCGCCTGGTTCCTGACTTCAGAGAGGCTCAGCTACAGCTATTGCGGCCATTTGGGGAATGAATCAGTGGATGGAAGATCTCTTTCTCTCTGCCTCTGCTTCTGCCTCTGCCTCTCAAATAAATAATTAAATCTCTCTCTCTCTTTTTTTTTTTTTTGAAGTTCTTTTTTTTTATTTACCATTGTTTTGAATAATAATTAAAGTTTGATACTCAGACTGAGTGATATTGAGTTGAGGTTCTCAGACTGATTCTGCAAACTACTAAAAAAAAAAAGAGAGTAGTTAACAGGCAAAGGGCAAGGTGCAGAGTGAGAGGAGGGGGGCATTGTAGAAGAGAGCTCTTAGTAAAATGGCGCAGTCTTATCTGTGGCACAATCTACACCCCAGACACCATCCTAGGCTCTAGCCCCCCTGCCACCATTGCTGAAGCCAGGTGACCCCATGGCCCAACCACAGGTGTCAGCTCCACCCCCACCCTAATGGGATTTGCTGCTCCTACTTCCCTGCCTGCCCCCAGCAAAGCTGTAACAAGACCTCTTCCAGAATACATGTCTTATAAAAGGGATGGCTAACATTTTCTGTAATAAAGCAAAAATAGCTAGAATGAAAGCTGAAATTATGATTCCATGGCTAAATTTACTTCTCCATGGGCACAGTAAACAGGCAAAACCTCCCTTTCAGACCAAACAAAGGGAGAGAAAGCTTTAGAGTGAGGACATGGGTTTCCTCATGGGCATTGCCTGCCTCACAGAAAAACCACTACCAGAACCTGCCGGTGACTGTAGACTTCAAGTTTAGGCCACCAAAGATTAGAGAATGGACTTGAGAACCCCCTTGACTTGCATCCTCTGGTCTGCTTTAACAAAAACCAGGAGGAAGAGAAAGTCAGGCATCAGAAGCAATGTAAAGATAGGCGGCAGGCCTATTAAAGGCTGCTCTGCCCAGTGATCTGCCATCAAGGACACCCAACAGGCCAGGCAACTGCAGTGGCTTTCAATGTGGTAAGCCTGGGCTTCAGCAGAAGTCAGCTTGTGAAGAGCCCTGGCAGCTCTACCAGCCAAGAGTTGGGTCACTGGAAATGGAACTGCCCTCAGCTAAATCAGATAACAGGTGACCCTCATCCTAAAGCAAATGCCCTACAGCTGCGAGCCGATGCAAGCACGTCAAGACATTTCCAAAACAGAGCGGTGGGACAGGCATAGGAAAGGCATTCCTATCCCGAAAAGGAGCAGTAGGCAAGGCAAAAGAGATAACTGGTTCCAGCTAAGTCCACAACTCAACAGCAAAACAGCATTAAATCTGAAGGCTGGAGAACAGCCCCCTTGGATTCATGTACGGAATCCGGGCACCGGCACACCTATAGCTTTGTTAGGCTCAGTCCACCCAGCAGCTCGCTCAGCTCATGCCTGCAGCTCTCCCCAAGACTGGCATCACACAGTGGTAACTCTATGGCTCTGGTGTCTGGGAGTGGCCCCACTCTTACAGGTCCCTGAAGCATTGCCTTGGTAGAAGCTCGCTGTGGTGGCTCTAGCCCTGAGACAAGTCTCTGTCTGGGCCCCCTGCCTTCCCACAGCATCCTGTGAAATCTAAGTCGAGGGAGCCATGGACCCACAGTTCTTGCTTTCCGCACACCGTGGATGTCACCAAGGCTTATCGATTGTACCTTCCACAGCACAGGCCAAGTCATAAGTAGGTCTGAACGAGCCAAGACAGGGACAGCCAAGGAACACTACACCAGAACACAGGAGGCCCATGGAGGGCAGCCAGGTCCCTTCCCTGAGATATTCTGCGCTCCTAGATTGCTTAGCCAGTGCTGGGAGGACCAGCCCGAGGGATCTCTGAAATGCCTCTGAGGTCAGTCTCCCATTGCCTTGATTCCCTCCTGTTCACTTGTCTACTTGGTAACTGCCACTTGGCCACATCCCTGCTTTGCTCCCCTGAACACACCTTTTCATGTTTTATGTGGCCAGGCTGCAAAATTTCCAAATCTTCCCATTCTACTGCTCTTTTAATTAAAAATTCCTTCCTAAGTCAGTTCTTCCCACTTGCATCTCACTGTGTGTGGTTCAAAGTAGTCAACCGGTAGACTGAAGGCTTTGTTGCTTAGATAATTCTCTTACCAGATGCCATAGTTCATCAGTTTAGTGCTCTGCATTCCACAAGGTCCAAGGACATGGACAAAATTCTGCCAAGATCTTTGCAACAAGGATGGGCTTTACTTCAATTTCCAATACTTCATTCCTCAGTTCCACCTGAGAGCTCATCAGAATGGCCTATGCTGTCCATGATCGTGGTCTCTCATGTAATCCTTAAGGACTTCCAGTCTTTCCCCATAGCTCTTTTCTTCTACTAAGCTGTCACCAGAATGATACTTAATGCAGCATTGTGGTCACCTAGGCTTGTTCTACTCTGATCTTCCAAATTCTTCCAGTCGCTACCCATTACCCACTCCAAAGTTTCTTCCACATAGAGGGTATTGGTTAAACTAGTGCCACTTCTGGTACCAATTATCTTTTCTATTTTCTTCCAATAGGATACCACCTATTGTAAATTATGAACAATAGGAAAATATTTGGCTCACCATTGTGGAAGTCCAAGAGAACATGCTGGGATCTGATGAGGTCATTCACGCTCTGTCACCTCGGGGGAGAAGATGCAAGAGCAACACAGTGTGAGAGAAGAAAGAGGCTGGACTCCCCTCTTTGTAATGACCCATCCCACGAGAGTGGTGTTAATCCATTCATGGTGTAGAGCGCTCATAAGTTAAATACCTCCTAACAGGTCTCCTCTCTTAATACCATTTTCTTTGAAAAGGAAAAAGAAAAGAGAGATTGATTTATTTATTTGGAAGGCAGAGTTCCAGACCGAGAGAGAGGTCTTCCATCCATGGGTTCACTCCTCAGATGGTCACAATGGCTGGAGCTGTGCCGATCTGAAGCCAGGAGCCAGAAGCCTCTTCTAGATCTCTTACGTGATTGTAGGGACCCAAGCTCCTGGGCCATCTTCTGTTGCTTTCCGGGGAACATTAGCAGGGAGCTGGATCAGAAGTGGAGCAGCCTAGACTGGAACCAGCTCCCATATGGGATACAGGAGCTGCAGGCAAAAGGGCTTTACCCCGCTGTGCCACAGAGTCGCCACCTCCCCTTCATTTTTACAGTGATCTACTTTCAGATTACTTTATACTCATAAAATTAACCCTATGCTAAGTAATGAGGGGAACAAATAGGATGAAGAAAACAACACTGTTCCTCAGCAGTGGAGACAAGGGCTGTAAACAATCATCGAAGCTCAAAATGTCAGTTTCACTCCTTTGCATTACATTTTTGGTACTCCATTAGTTACCACAGATCAGGGAAAATACGTAGTATTTGTCTTTTGGGGACTGGCTTGTTTCACTAAGTATAAGGGCTTCCAGTCACATCCATTTTGTTGCAAAAGAAAGGATTGCATCCTTTTTTATGGCTAAGTAGTATACCATAGTGTAAACACACCATAATTTCCTTACCCAGTCATCAGTTGGTGGACATCGGATGGACTCTAATAGAAGCAGTAGACAACATGCAAGAGCAAGTGATAATCTAAGCAGACAGATGGACATTCTAAAAAAAAAAAAAAAAAAAAAAAAAAAGGAAATAGTGGAGGGAGCCAGTGTTGTAGTACACTCTGTTAAGATTCCACTGTGACGCTGACACCCATGGCAGAGCTGGAGTCCCTGCTGCTCTGCTTCTGATCTAGCTCTCTGCCAATGCACCCGGGAAGGCAATGTGGGCCCTGTCACCCATGTGGGAGACCTCGATGGAGCTCCTGGCCCCCGGCTTCTGTCTGGCCTAGCCTCGGCTGCTGTGACCATTTGGGCAATCACTCAGTAGATAGAAGACTTTCTCTCCCCCCCCCCCACCTCTCTCTCTCTCTCTGTCTGTTACTCTGCCTTTCAAATGTATAAATAAATTAATCTTTTTTTTTTTTTTTAAAAAAAGGAAATAGTAGAGATCAATCAATGTAACAGCAATACAGGGATCATTTGATAGGCTCATTGGGAAACTGGATTCAGCTGAGTAAACTGTCTCTGAGCTTGAGCACTTGTCAATAGAAACTCCCCCCCTTAATTTCAGACACCACACCAGAGATCTAGGTCAGATAACACCAGCTGGAATAAATAACAATGAAAACCAAGACAAGCCACTACCCCATCCCAACTATACTCAGATTGCAGAAAATAAAAAGGGGGGATGGCATGGAACCCCAAAAATAGTCAGAGGAAAAAAATTATCAATGTAGGGGAGCAAACATAAAAACCAAATGTGACTTCTCCTTCAACACCAGTCAAGCAAGAAGAGAATAGAATACAATACTTGAAATGTTGAATGAAAAACCCTACCCATCTGCTGTCTTGATCAGTTATACTTCAAGAATAAAAGAGGCTGGCACCGCAGCTCAATAGGCTAATCCTCCGCCTGCAGCACAGGCAAACCGGGTTCTAGTCCTGGTCGGGCCCCCGGATTCTGGCCCGGCTGCCCCTCTTCCAGGTCAGCTCTCTGCTATGGCCCGGGAGTGCAGTGGAGGATGGCCCAGGTCCTTGGGCCCTGTACCCGCATGGGAAACCAGGAGAAGCACCTGGCTCCTGGCTTCGGATCATTGCAGCGGGCTGGCCACACCGGCCATTGGAGGGTGAACCAATGGCAAAAAGGAAGACCTTTCTCTCTGTCTCTCTCTCTCACTGTCCACTATGCCTGTCCAAAATAAAGAAAAAATATTGAGCTAGTATTTCTCTATGTATTTCCACTTCCTCCAGCCCCAGACGTTCTGGCTAATGTGATGTTGGACAATGGTTGTCTGGTGCTACCCTAAAACTGTCCAGGTTATGGTTATATCTCAAAGGAAACAAAGTTTAATTATTTCAATTTGTAAAGGATTCAGAGTACAGTTAATACCAGACAGGAGGGATACTTAGTACACTGAGCATTCTTTCTTTTTTTTTCTTAAGGTTTATTTATTTATTTGAAAGTCAGAGTTACACAGAGAGAGGAAAAGGCAGAAAGAGAGAGAGAGAGGTCTTCCATCTGCTGGTTCACTCCCCAATTGGCCACAATGGCCGAGCTGCACCGATCTGAAGCCAGGAGCCAGGAGCTTCCTCCGGGTCTCCCATGTGGGTGCAGGGGCCCAAGGACTTGGCCCATCTTCTACTGCTTTCCCAGGCCATAGCAGAGAGCTGGATCGGAAGTGGAACATCTGGGACTAGAACCGGCGTCCATATGGGATGCCGGCACTTCAGGTCAGGGAGTTAACCCACTGCACCACAGCGCTAGCCCCACTATTTGCTTTCTTCACACAACGTTATCTTTGAGACATTCCCTATGTTCAAACATAGAGCCCTGTTTTCCTTCTTTTCACTGCAGTTCAGCACCCCAGGAGAAGAACGTCCAACAGCACCACAGTTTCTACATTTTGCCCCTACTGCTACGTGTTCACGCTGTGTCCAGCACTGTGCTACTACCATCAACGCCACTGTGGACATTTCTGCTTGTCTCCTTGCGCACACACGGGTTTCCGTGGTCACGGTGCTCTACTCCTTCGTATCGTTTCCAAAGAGGGTGAGCCGTCTACATTCCCACAGGGGAACATTTTTAGCCCTCTGTTTCATGACTGGCTTGGAGCTGTCATTACTAAGCTCAGTAGGTGCTGGCGCTGTGGCATAGTGGGTAAAGTTACCACCTGCAGTGCCGCCATCCCATATGGGAACCGGTTCGAGTCCTGGGTGCCCCACTTCCCATCCAGCTCTCTGCTATGGCCTGGGAAAGCAGTAGAAGATGGCCCAAGTCCTTAGGCCCCTGCACCTGTGTGGGAGACCCAGAGGAAGCTCCTGGCTTCAGATTGGCGCAGCTCCAGCTGTTGTGGGCAATTGTGGAGTGAATGAGCAGATGGAAGACCTCTCTCTCGCTCTGCTTTTCCTGCTCTCTGTGTGTAACTTTGACTTTCAAATAAAATAAAGAATTCCTTTTTAAAAAGTGAATTCATTATTTATCGGAAATTCAAATTTCACCTGGCATCCTGTATTTGTATTTGCTGAATCTGGCAGCTCTACATGACCCTTTATTTGATTCTTTTTGAGAATCTAAGGATTTAGGTTGATTTCTCTTTTTGATTTCTGTTTTAAGGGCCTTTCCCACATTAAAGATCGCCAGGCCCCCTGCTTCACTTTATGAAACATTCACAGCTAACACCAATCTCAGCAGCTGATAGAGCAGCAAGGAGTAACGAATGCGATTCCTTGAGCTTCATCGTCCTGCCTCCTCCCCCTGCAATAGCGTAGGGCACACAGAGTGGCCAAAAGGCAATCTGTGTAAAGGAAGTTGGGAAAGAAACCAGTTACAAATAAACTGCATTTGAATGCCAGACCCCAGCTGGCAATCTCTGACCCCAATGTCCACCCACCCCAACAGGGAAAACCAAAGAAGTGTCTTCTCCGAGCTCCCATTCAGAACATGGGCCGCAGAACAACAGCTAAGTCTGGTCATCCCTTATTTTTAGAGCCACAATTTAGAGGACAGTGCCCTGTGGCAAGCACTAAGTGCACTGGGTTATCTCCTCCGCGCCGGCAATATAGCGGGAAGTGGCAACGCAGGGAGACTCAGCAACACCGAGGAGATGGCGCAGACCTTGAAGGCAAGCAGACCAGCCAGCGCAGCCTGGGCTCACCCAGTCCCCACACAATCAGGGCCCAAAGGACTCACTTCCCCAATTGTCTGTTTCGTTGTCTCCATAGATGATAGGACGCCACACCTGGCATACAGCTGGTGCACAGTGAGACCATAAGATGGCAGCCTGGCCCTGTTTCACATGCCTTTGTGTGATGAAAGAGAAAGAACAGGTTAACAAGGTCACAAGCAAAACCTGATACTTGGCTCAAGTTCAGCAGCTGCTTTGGATGCAAGAACGCCGCCCCAAGTAAGGAGATAGGAGATGCTGGTGAAGGCAGCTGTTCCATTGAGGTTCAGTGGGAGAGGATTCTGCAGGGGGGCAGTATGCGTTTGTTTTTTTAAGATTTATTTATGTATTTGAAAGAATTACACAGAGAGAGAAGAAGAGGTGGTGGGGGGAGAGAGAGAGAGGTCTTCCATCTGCTGGTTCACTCCCCAACTGGCTGCAACAGCCAGAGCTGCACCAATCTGAAGCCACAAGCCAGGAGCTTCCTCCAGGTCTTCCACATGGGTTTAGGGACCCAAGGACGTGGGCCATCTTCTACTGCTTTCCCAGACCAGAGCAGAGAGCTGGATCAGAAGTAGAGCAGCCAGGTCTCGAACCAGTGCCCATATGGGATGCCAGCACTGCAGGCAGCGGCTTTACCTACTGTGCCACGGTGTGCATTTCTAACGCCACCACTTGTCTTCTGTTCAGGCTGGAGTTTTCTGCATCCATTTCTGCTGTACCCAAGATGTGTGTGCTTTCCTGGCTGGGATGAGATCCCTACCGACATTCAGCAATAACCTACAGAAGGAAGGGAACTTCTCCAGTGGCCCACGATGTAGTTTGCTCTGTAACAAAATTGACCCTGTCAGCTGTTTATACTGGGAAGTGCAGATCAAGGTCCAGACCCTGCACGGCCCGAGGCAAAGGCCTCCCAGCCTTCAGAGAGGTCACTGAGTCGTCTGTCATCCTGCAGGCAAGTGCCCTGCAATTCAATTGCTCAGAATTCCCAAAGAAAACCATGAATGACAGACTTGGGAATTGTTTTACGGACATGGGATGCAGAAAACATAAACACCAGTAACTGGGCAGGGAGAGCACCACTGGGACAGGAGCCCAGGGATCTGGGAACGCCTCCCTGGTGACGTCAAAGCCCGTGGGGAGGGGCAGGCCCACAGCAGGAAAAGTCCTAAGGACTAGATTAGGAAGCAGCCCTCTGGCTTTCAGCATTCAGCGGCTGACTTGCTTTCTACTGGCCGGCACCAGGCTGTTCCAGGCTGGACTGGTATTCTGAGTGTTGCATTATCTGCACGATATCAAAAATACAGCCCTGTGCTGTAACATTTTACCAAGATCGCAACTTCTAGTACCCATGGCAGAGAATTCAAAATTTGATGAAACACCGCGAATACCTGTTGACTATGTGAGAGGAATTCTTCAACCCACGCCTACCTGTGACGCCTGGGATCTGATCTGGAACTTCCAAGCCAAGCCTGATGACCTGCTGATTTCTACCTATCCTAAAGCAGGTAGGTGGAGGAGCTGGCAGGGACGGGGAAGAAGAGTTAGGAAGGTAAGTGAAGGATTCAGTAAGAGAAGAAGGTTTGCTCTCAAGGAGCCCTTTTGCACACACACACACATACAGAGACAGGGAGGGACAGAGAGAAAGCGAACCTCAGTCTTTTCTGAGATTGTGTTCAACCCTCCACAGGAGGTTACATCTCTCTCAGTATCCTAACAGAAGAATGTGCAGGCCAACAGAGACCTTGTCCAGTGGTTCATGTTGGTCCTGATGTAACAGTCTTACTCGTCAGGAGTCTATTCAGGATCAAATTTTTCTAAATGTCAATCTGAAAATCAGCAAAGTTTTTGCCACTAGTTTTGCTAGTTTTTTGCCACCAGTTTTTGCGAGTTTTGCCACAAGGAAAGACCGCAGCTTAAATTCATCCACAACTCTGCTTGATTATCATTTCAGCTCAATGTTGTGTTTTCCATTTACTTCCTCATTTGAGAGGCAGAGAGAAAAACAGAGCTGCCTAGAGAGCTCGAATCACCACTGCTTCATTCCCCGAATCTCTGCAGTAGCCGTGGGCAGGGGCTGGAGCCAGGGCCAGGACCTCAATTCACCTCTCCCATGCGGGAGGCAAGAACTCAATCACACAGCCAGCACCACCACTGCCTCCCAGGGGATGCACGGGCAGGAGTCAGGGGCCAGGGCCAGCAAGTGAATCAGGTGCTCACACCAATGAGGGACATGCAGCAGCCTGACCACTGGGCCAAATACCCACTCTCAGTACTTTGTGTAATCTTTCATTCTACCTGCCAAGTGCAAGCCTTAAGATTTGATTCATTTACTTTTCATGGAATAAATAGGATTTAAACAATTCAAAAAGCATGAAGAATAAAAATGTTTTGCATCCAATGTAATATTTAATCATCATTAAAATCTTATATATGAATGAAGATTTTTTTTATTAGAGGGAAAAGATAAGTATAAATGACAAAAACAATCCACCCTGTCCTTAAAAAGAAAGAAAGAAAGAAATACTATGGGCAGAAGCAAGGAAAACAGTCATAAAATCACTAAGCCCTGGAGAGTGACTTGAGAAGTCACTGATCCACCCTGAAGCCCTGCTGACACATGAAGATCCCTCATCACAGCCTAGGGCCAGATTCAGAGTAATCACCCCAACTAGGTGCAATGACTCCAGAGTTCTCTGAGTAGGTGGCTAAGCCAGTTTTGGTCCTTTGTCCTGTAATGAAAGTTGGTGCCAGCAAACAGAGGGGATATGAAGTGTGATTCCTAATCATTCTTCAACCCCTGCCTTTAAGAGCACTGAATTGAGAGTATGGAAAAGGAAGTCAACGGGAGAGCTGCTGCCAAAGAACACAGATAAGTCAATGCTGATCAGGCTGAAGAAATCCATGCTACAAGCTGTGACTGAAATGACATTCACTGGGTAAATATAAAAGGCTGGGAGAACAAAGTACAGCTGAGGGCAAAGGTTACTTTTAGAATTTGAGCATAAAAACACTTATTACCAAACAGTTTTTTACTAGCAAATAGTTCATAGGAAATTTAAAAATAAATGGAAAGTACGTGTTTCCACCTTGACTTAGTACAGTGTAGTCTGAGCATCCCTAATCTGAACTCCTGAGCACTGCACAATCTGAAGCCTTGTCAGTGCCAACACAGTGTCGCACGTAGGACATCGTGACAGCGTTGTTACACATCCTGTGCACTGCTCCCTCAGGCTGTGTAGTTAAAGTTTATAAAACCTAAATGAAGGTCATATTTAGCCTTGGTTCCCATCCCTGTGTTATCTCATTATGCTTGTGCGACTACTACAAAATCCAGAAAAACTTGGACTCCAAAATACGTCTGGTCCCACGTATTTCAGAGAAGAGATACACAACCGTACTAAAAATCAGAACTTGCTAGTACTAATCTGAAAAGAGCTAATTTTAATAGGAATAAGAGAGTATTTAAAAAAAAGAAATCCATCCTAGAACAACCCAACATCCTCACCTGTGAGCACATCTGGTTAGAGCCTAAGCTGCGGAGTGGGGGGGCCTTCTTCCTCTGACCACCATGGCAGTGGTGGTGCAGCTTCCTGCAGTTAGAGAGGGGCTATGGAATGTGGAATGACCTCTGCCAAAGTGTTGTTGGTGCCACCAGCAGCCACTACACTGGGCAGGATGAGCTCTATTTTGCTTCTGCCTTCCAGATCTCAGCCTAATTCCTCTCATTAGCAGATGTGTTGTTTTGTTTTGTTTTGTTTTTCTCTTCATACTGTTTGTTGAACTCTTTTACTTTGAGTAGGTTAACTGTATGATTGTTAAGTACACTGAAAATAGATCATGATAAAAATTAAAAGTGGGAATGCGAGGTGGGAGAGGAAGGGTTGGAGAGTAGGCAGAAGGTAAGGTGGGGGCGAGTGTCACTATGTCACTATGTTCCTAAATCTGTATATATGAAACTTGTATAACTTAAATAAAATTTTTGTAAAATGCAGAAATTATTACATAAAATGCAGAATCCAAAAAATAAAAGAAATAACATTCAGAATCTTTGTGGCAAAGGAGGGAGTCTAGGGAATGTACATTTTTGCCTTTCTACTGCTGAGATAAGGAGAAAACAGAGAAAAGAGTGAAAATGGATACTAAAGGTTAGTGGCATATAGTAAGCCCAGGCACTAATCATTCATTCACTCAGCCAACATCTGCTGGCTCTGAAGCAAAAACTTCATACACTGTGCTTAGGGAAAAGAATTTGAAACCACAGTCTTTACTCCACAGGAGATCATAATTGTTTACCACACAGCTAGATCAACAGGCCAACAACCCAAATTAAAGGTCGTGATAGAAAAAAATAATTGCATATCATCAATCTAATGCCCACTCATGAATGGAGTATTTGTATAAAAATTCATGTCATGGTAACTCATGGTATAAATAAGAAAGGATGTTTTCTGAAGTCCATTTCTATAAACAAGGCTTTCAAATTCACATAGATGTTCTAGCAAAGTATTTGGTCACAATTTAAAGAATATAGTACTCTAACTGTCTCTGCATCTGCATCTTCTATGTGGAATTAGGAACAACATGGACTCAGGAGATAGTGGACCTAATACAAAATGAAGGTGACGTTGAGATGAGTAAACGAGCACCCACTCATATACGGTTTCCTTTCATCGAGTGGATAATCCCTTCCATAGGATCTGGTGAGTATCCAATAGCCACACTTGACTATGTTTCTGGACATACCCTTAGGGGTTTTATGATTAAATTGCACCTCGCAAAATTATAGGTACTCATTGATGGATTTTGTTGCTTTGTCTTTTTTTTAATGAGTATTTAATTGAAGAACAGTTACAGGGAGATGAGAAACAGAGACAAGAAGATCGTCCATCTGCTGTTCACTCCTTAAATGATCCAATAACCAGGATTCGGCCAGGCCAAAGCCAGGAGCCTGGAACTCCATCTAAGAATCTCCCACGTGCGTGGCAGGAGCCCAAGCACTCAGGCCATCTTCCCCTGCTTTCCCAGACACATGAAATGGGATGCTGACATGGCACACCATGGCTTAACCCAGTGTGCCACCAATGCCAGGCCCCAGCCTTGTGTCTGGCCATTGCTATTCTACAGAATTCTCTA